TTACCTGACCTCGCTCATCAATTTCCTGCTAGACCCAAAAGCACACCACCTTCCTGCAGCTCCTGACAAGGCAAAGGCAGAGCTGGCTGCTCTCCACGCACGCCGCTGGAATCAGGTGTGCACTTTTCTGCCAAGGATTTAGGTCGCAGGACCTGTGTGCTGAACGCCGCAGAAGCGCGGGTATCTAAGTGTTATGAAAATAAATGGGTCATACACCACTGAGCTAACAACCACACCACCCCCAAGCTGGGCACTGAATGACTGTGCAGGGCTCTGCCAGAGGGAGAGGAGAGGTTGAGCCAGCAGTGAAAACAAAACTGATGTGGTGAGATGGATTTTACTTTTCACTGGTTTGGGTTACAGAGAAAGTTGGTCTTGCTGCCACCTTCTCTCAGGCCTTTCTGCAAAAAACCAAAAAAATGCAATGTACAGGCTGGTAAGATGGAGATGGGAGATGTGGAGATGGGCTGGCATCTCACTCCACCGGGAAAGGGGAAGTGTGCTGGCCTTGGGCGGAGGGAGGGCTGTGACTCAGTCCCTTGAGCTGACACACACACACACACACACATACACACACACACAGAGCCCCATGCTGTCACCTGCCACAGTAAAAAATAAAAGTCCTTGCCACAACACGGCAGCCGCAGGGGAAATGGCGAGTAAACAGATCAATGATGCTGCGCACCCACGCAACCCGTGGCACCGCTGGGGTGACGAACAAACAAACCTGTGGTCAATGGCAGCAAGGCGAGAGTGTCAGAGTAATCGGGGTTCAGATGGCACGCTACACTGCGACAAATTCCCAGTCCTCTGCTGCTGTTCACAGCTAAACACGAGAAGAGTTCCACCCAGCCACACAGCCCGCAGTCACCGTGTGGGCCTGGATGGGGATGCCTCCAACACCGGGAGCTGGGGCAGAAACCTCCGGGAAAGGACACTGGCTCGCCATCCACACACGTGTGCATGTGCAGGGGCCCTGCCTGAAGCCACACCAGCACTTTTCAGGACATACATTTGTCTAGATACATTTTTTAATTTTTAAAATCATATACTTACATATAAATAAAACTTTTATAATATATAAATATATATATTATATAAATATATATGTTTCATAAACATAGATAAACTTTTATAAATATATATGTTTCATTTTTATATATACAGACACGTCTGCACATAGAAATAAAGTGATATTCAGTCAACAGATGTGTTTGTATTGAAAGCTGTCCCTGGCCACCAGCCTGGCTGAGGTATGGAGGCACTGACCTCCGTACTGAAGTGTTGAGAAGCATCTGATCACATCAAGGGACTGACATAGAGTTGCTAGCAGTGGTCAGTGGACCAGATGCCGTGAGAGATTATGAAGGTCCCCGAGGCAGGAGACACTCCACACACTGGTGGCCCTAGGTACAGAGTCCTGGTACACCAGTACCATAAAATGGGTAAGAAAGTGCCTTTGCCCCTATGAAAACAGCATAACAATAGGAAAATGTATAGGAAAAATCATGAAATGCAGACATGGCCACATCTCTCATCCAGTAAGATTAACCTGTCAATGTCCTCAGGTATGGTCTTGGCACTTGAGGGTTTGCTACTGATGGTTAGGGGTGTTTGGTAAGTCAGTGTCCAAAGTGATACAATTTTGCCTTCATAAATCTGCTTTTTGTTATGAATTCTGTCAAGTTATCTGACCTTTACAGATTTAAAAAGATTACATTTTTCCCAGGTTGTGGTGGTAGGTGGGTGACAGACATTTAACCACCAATATCTGCATATTTAAAATTTTACATTATTTACATCTGCCTAGAGATGGGCATAGCACAGATTTCAAGAAATCTTTCTAAATTTTTTTTAAATACTCTGAAGAACTCATACCTAGCAAATGTGAAATTTCTGGACAGAACTTTCTGAGTTTCAGGCTGCCTTATTTTTTTATCCTTTATAGGGCCTTGCTGAATTCACAACATTGGATATGCAGTACCAACCTGGTCTTTTTATGAGATGCAGAAGGACATTGATTAGGATGTTATTTTTGCTGCTTTTAAAGAAAAACACACAAGGCTAAAACGAAATGAGAAATGTGAGAGTATGGACACTGCTAGGAATAGTCACCTGTCTCCACTGGGATGCCAGCAGCCGTGCCCCAGCAGCTGTTCCAAGACACAGCTCTGTACATTCTCTCTCATCCATGACTGTCTGGGATAACAAATGGAAAGAGCCTCTCAGCAGAGAGCACAGCTTCTCTCTGACTGCTGTACTCCCATATTACAATACACTCAGTTTAACCTGCCCAGGATTAATTCCCAGAGAACCTGGAGAAATGGGTTTTTCTTTACTTTGGCACATGCAGCATAACAGGGGTTTGCAATATGCTCTGTCAGAACAAGCAAGGGCATTTTGCTTTGAACTCACACATCAGTAAGTACTATTTCTATAGAGATTTTATCCATCAGCACCCTAGTAGTATTATAGAAACAAAATAATAAATGGAAGGGGGGAAAGGCATACTTATTTATCCCACTGCACCCTGGGAAAAGCAACCAGAATATGGTTGTTACAGCTGGGTCAACCTTGTGCAACTGCTCTTTCCCGTAGGGCTAATTAACAAGTGAAAGTCTGCTCCTTTCTATGGAAATTGCTATAACGAGGTAATTGTTGCAAGCAGAGTCTGTCATCAAAAACAGACAGACAATGGGAAACAGAGAAATCAAATAAGCAACGGGCATCTTGCCCTCATGTCTACCTGTGCTGGCGTGGATCTGCACACACAACGGGTGCAACCCCAGCCAACAGCCTGAGGTGATGCATGAGTTTTCTAGGAGCTAGAGTACACAACATGTTTTAAAAATGATGCATAGCTCTAGCACATAACCACAGTTAAAAGAGAAAGAAGAAAGAAAAAAAAAAAGGAAAGACACAGATTTGATGATGGCTCTTACATCCTCATACTGATTTTCAAGTTCATTTGGTCCTCAGACCTGATTTTGTTCCTTGAAAATGAGACGTCTGCAAAACTTCCCATGCATTTCTGCATGGGAAGAGGTATTTTCTTTCTCATTTCTGTCTGCTTTTTCAAGTCTCCCAACAAGGATGATATTTTTGAAGTTAGTTCCTCTAGAAGTGTTTTAAATAGTGAATTTGCAAGATGCCTAATGATAAGCTTTTCAAACATCATGAGAAAAGCTTGCAAAAAATTGTGAATAAGGCTTCCAAACCTCATGGGAATAGTGCTAAGTAGGACTAATGAAAAACAAGCTTTTTCTGCCTGCCTAGCTGTTACAACTCTTATTTTCAAGTCTTCTTCCCTAAGACAAGCACTACAAACAAATTTCAAGCCAGATCCAAAATTTTCCTGTAGTCAGACGATTCCTGCTGAGGGGGATTTGATTAATAACTGCACCAGAGAATGTCAGACCCTCAAGGAAATAGCAACACTCTCCCTTTTTTGGAAAACAAAATCAAACTCACACCTTGTAAGGTCTCTTTGACAGTGAATTCTGTAACTACTCAGACTTTCTCCACTGCCTACGACTTCACCATTATTTTGCTGATACTCATCACACCAGAAAAAAAAATTCCTCTCTTTAAAAACTGATTTTCCATATACATTAAAGAACACAATCCTCCTTTTGCAGTAGACTTTTTTTTAGTAAAACTTTTAAAGTCACATAAGCAAATAAAGTACTTAAATAAAGGTATATTTCTAATGTAAATGTTTTGGTTCCAAAGCACTATTTTTTTTAGAAGTAGTGGTATTAGGAAGCATTCAAGAAAAACTGACCAGCAAGGTGTGGTCTGCTTCACTGACCTGTTCTGACTAAACTGCATCGTATGTGTTTGTTCCTGCAGTGAACAAACAAGGCTGGTAACGTGCACAGTGCCACACTGTGAACCACAATTTCGCATTACCTCCTTTTGCCAAGCTGCTCTATAACAGCATCCCAAAGATAAAAACCTCTTAACCACAAAGTGATTTGGTTTTGTTTTAAAAATTTATGAAATTAAGTTGTGCCCAAGCTTTTCCCCAAACTTGTCAGCTCTGGGGTGTCCCATCCTCCATAGAGCACAGACCATCACAATCCATGCCATCCATGTAGTGCTCCAGAAGCTTCTTCTACCTCAGAAACCATAACAAGGGTTAGAACTGCTGACAAACTGCCAAGGGTCAAACCAGTTTCTCCCCACTGATTCTATGCCAGGCTGTGCTATGGCATGTCTCAGAGGAAGACTCAGTCATCGTGGGATCAGGGATGAAATACGTGCACAAGGTCATAAACTGCTCCCCATCTTGGGTGCAGTATCAAAGCACAACTAGCACAGGGGACTACTACTCTGGCTGAGAAGTTAGGAAGGGATCTGCAGTCCCCTCAATCTGTCCCTAGTAGATCTATGCGCAGCTTTCTTTACCCTCCTACAGTCAGGTGGAGCATGGATTCCACCTGGAAGGAGCTGGAGGTAGCAATGAAGATACTTCTGATGCTTACAGAGCCTTTTGGGGCAGGAGGCTGAAGGATGAAGCAGTGCCAGGCGTCCCCCAAGGGAAATACTCCAGGAACCCAAAAGGAGAAGCATATGGATTTTATCATGGGAGAAATAGAAGGGTGCCTGCAGTCCTGTTGGGCAGATGATGGCCTCCAAACTCACGTGGAGCATGTACAGCTTTGGCAGAGAACACCAAGGTAAGTGTACACACACGCAGCCCGTTGCAGAGAAAAACAAAGCGCATTTAAGTCCTTCTCACTATGGTTTACCGTAGTAGCAGAACACTTAGAAAAAAAGCCGTCAAAATGACAATCACTATTTAGGTTAAAAAAGCAAGTAACTACTTCAATAACAATTTATTCACCACCTAATGTTTGCAGTTGAATTACAGCTTTTATAGCGTTTTTCTAAAGTGTGATATTTATTTCCTCTACCCTGCCTTCCCAAGATCTTTTTTTCCCCTTTCTTCTTTAGTTTTTTTCTTTAAATAGAAAGGAATTGGAATCATGACTTACATGTAACTTTTCTAGGTTCTGTGCTGGCTAAAATGTTCTCACGATGCAGGGAACAGGATCAATGGAGAAATGAAGAGGCTGCAGCAATCCATTAAGAAGTGACCCTCCAAAGTTCTCTAGGGCAGTGTTCTGGCAACTCAGCTGGAGCAACCTAAAATAAAATAAAGGCACGAATTAAAAAAACAAAATCAAGCACTGAATCTTTACAAACACCTCTTTGTTTTTTCTTTCTGATTCTACAAAACATGTTGGGGCATCTTTTTTTCTTTAATATAGAAGATTTTTATGCCAAACATGACAATTACTTTATGTCCATTTCACACTTCCTCAAAGCTTTCAGCTGTAGATACTTTTCTACAAAGACCATGTTTTCCTTTCATTCGTATAGTATGAGGCCCCTGAAAAGCATTACTGAACATATAAACTAACATTTCTGTGATTATTCTACCAGATCACATGACAGGTAAGAGCATTGCTATGCATACATACTAAGGAATTCTTTACTGTGATGGTGGTGAGGCACTGGAGCAGGTTGCACAGAGAAGCTGTGGGTGCTCCACCCCTAGAAGTGTTCTAGGCCAAGGTTGGATTGGGCTTTGAGCAACCTGGTCTAGTGATAGTTGTCCCTGCTCATCGCAGATGGGTTGGAATCAGATAAGCTTTAAAGCTCAACCTAAATCACCCTGTGGTTCTATGAAACTGCACATCACATCAGAAAGGAGTTATAACAAAACCAGCAAATTTATCTAGTAGGCATTAAATAATAATTAATACTGGCATTTGTCAAAGCTTTGCATTGATTTTATCAAGGAATTCAGGTTAGGAACACAAAATTTGTTCCTTTGTTTCTCCTTTACTCCGGCGAGCTTCAGAGAAGAAACACCATCAGTGTAATTTGGCATCCCTGTGTTGATGCAATGTGTGTTGTAACCCTGCAGCCACCCTAAAGCAAAGCTACCTGTCATGCCAGTCCATGTCAAAAGAAAACTGGAGAGAGAATGAAATGTTCATCTGCCCACAGAAAATTCACTGTGCTGTCACCTCCATGCAAGGGGCTCAGGGCTCAGTCCCTGGAGGGGAGCACTCTGGCATGGGGAAGGCTGGTGAGAGCAGACCTGGGGCCAGGGGGCTGGGGAGGGGGCTGAAACTTCCAGCAGCCAAGTCCCAGCATCACCACACAGCCCAGATCCCACAATGAGCACAATCCCAATCCCAGACTATGGAAAAGGCTTCCCCCATCTATCAAGGAAGCCATCACACTCTGAAGTGGTTGAGGAAGAAATACTTGTGGAAGGAGAAGTAATTAGCTTTAAGCTACAGGGGTTCTCAAGTTGAGGTTTTCAAGTTGCCAGTGCCCAACACTTTACTGTTTTCCTGGAAAAAACATTGGAATGCTTAACTACTATTTACTTGAGTGAAGTTGGCAACTGGGAGTAGAAAGGAAGATGGTTTTCTTTTGAACAGAAGGGGACAGCAGCAGTACAAGCAGTGACATGTATCTGTCTTCACAGGATCACTGCAAAGTCTGTGTCTGCAGAATTACCACAAACTAAAGCTAGATAAAGCGGGAGGTGAGGAAGAGGAAAATAAACCCCTAAAGTTTAGATCTTTTAAAAATCTACTCTTATTTTTTAAAAACATGCAAAATTAACTCTTGAGTAAAAAATTCTGGTTTCTCAAGAGATGTCTGCCTATGTCTATTTATTATGACTAATATGTTTATGACTCCTGTTTATGATTCCATAAAAAAGTGGAGGGAAAAATAAAACCAAAATTCAGTGCAAATGAGAGAGATTTGATAGTTACTTTTCTAAGTATGCTGTTTCTTGTAAAAAATGTTCAATCTTTCCTGAGCAGTGGTCCTACTACATTTTACTCCAAGTCTTGTGGAAAATTGGTTCCTTTATGGAAAGCAGGTTATTTCCTCTGGATGGGACCCTTCTAAGATGGTTTACCAACAGATGCTCAAACTCTTGCTACCTTTAAGGGTTACCTAATTAGGTACTTGAAAATAATTATGAGGCTGTGCTAGGAACACAATGCTTGTGTCTCTTCAGTTTATACAGTTTTTTTCCAATTGGGCATAACATTCATTGACAGACTGTAAGAGTACCAAATATTTATGGTCACAAATATACATTATTTAAATTGCCTATAAACCTAAAAATATAAACTCTAAATCTGTTCCGTCATAAATCACTGGTAGAACAAAAATAACTGTTGCTTACTGAATGGCCAAAGGACTAAAACCTTTAGTCTCTGTGTTTTCAAGGATAACTTAGTTTCCTGAGCAAATATTGCACACGCCACAGCATATCAGAAGAAAAAGAGAATAAACAGTTGGGAATAGAGAAACAAGAGAAAAAAAGGGGGCCTGGGGGGTGGGGAGGGGAAAAAAAGACTTTCAGCACCACTGAAGCTTTTCTGAGAAGGTCTGATTGATGTTCACTGCTGTAGAAAGCATGAGGCTGCATCCCAAACATTTCATTCCCTTCTGCAAATGTCTCACTCCATAGCTCTCCCCATGTTCCCCAGATATTCTTGCCCTATGCAGGATGATCCAGCCAGCATCAGGTTTTACACATGATCTAAAGGACTAAAGCAGGAATCTCTCTGCCCAGGGGTCAGCTTAGGGTAGAATGAAACTTAACCCCTGCTTATGCTCAGCACGAGGGCTTCTTCATGCTTTCCATCTGACAAAAGACTTTTCCTGAAACAGACAAATTATTAAAGGCAAAGCTGTTACTAAAGCTGCAAACTTACAGGAATACATTAAAACTGAGTTAATATTAAGAGCCAATGGTGCACCTACTGAAGAGGAACTTCAGCAGTTTAATGGGCTGATCAGCCAGGTTTACAGCATTGGCAAGAGTTGGATCTTAGGCAGGGTAAGATATACTCTCTGCTCCAAGGCTTGCTCTCATCAAGGTCTCAGCTCTCAGCACAGACCTGCACATGTGGGACATCAGTTAACAGGGTCATTAGAGGCCAAAATCACTGTCCTACACCAACTTGAAAAACTAGCTCCTGCAGTCTTGGAGCTTGCAAGAAAGCCTTATATTTATTCTCAGAAGAAGCATCTGCCCTAATAGCTTGCAAAGAAATACAGAAAAATAACAATACTTCCAACTGGACTTTGTAAATCTGGTTGATTTTTAAAAAAACTTACATTATTTAACAACCTCTCATACATTTTTGAAGCAGGTTACCTCTTTTCTCCCCCTTTCTGATGGCTTCCAGTAACACCTGGCAGCTGAAATTAGCACTGAGGAATGCAAATGTAAAGGAAGACACACCAGACACTCTTAACTGGCAGAAAAATGCATGAAGTTGAAAAACCATTTACTTCAATAAAACACCTTCCAGTTTGGATTTCTGTTATCCAGAGAGAGTGTTCAAAGGAGAGGTTTTGTTTTTAACAGGGCTTTAATGCTTAAAAGGAGGAAAACTGGCAAGTTCTTCTGTTTGCAACAAACAATCCAAGAAAGGTGAATTGAGAAAGGCATGATGAATGTAGCTGGGTATTACTCCACTTATCATGAAAGATGTTTCAGACACAGAAAATTGTGCAGTCATGCTCAAGAAAACTGGAGATGCTGGGTGGGCTATGAGGGAAGTAAGCAAGAAATACACAAATGCAACAAATACACAGTGGGTTGTTTATCCCATTGTTCAGCATAGGTGGGTAAGATAAGGACTAAGTAAAATGACCCACACAAGTAGACTGGTTGGTGAGCTTCTCTCGGGTGTGGACAAAAGGAAAAAATATTTAAGAAACGCTGAGCACACGTGAGCCAGGAGAGGTGAGCACAGGTATGTAAACAGAACTGGTGTTTTCTGAAGCAGTGCCTCACCTGGTGGAGTGCAATGATGCTACTGACACAAATATGTAAGTAGCAATGATGCTACTTACACAAATTGAAGTCAAGGATCCCGCTTTGTTACTTGCAATACCATCACAGATCAGCAAACATGTTTTCCTTACGTTTTGTGTGTAATTTCTTTCTGGTTGAAATAGCTTCATTGGAACATTTGTAGCTTGAAGGGTCGCCTGAGGCTGAGAAGGCATTTGCAGTGCTCCTGACATCTAGTGCATGATCTCTCCCTGAGATCTGTAAATTAAACCCAAGATGATATCGATACCAATGTCACAAAAGAGACATGGTCTGATTCACCCTCAGTGCACCTAATTTCCTCATAATAACCTGTGTAGTTCTTCCAAAGGGAAAGAACATACTCATCTATCAGTCCTGCTTGTTCCCACATACACTGTTTAACCAGGGGCAGCCAAACAGGAGTCAGAAGGGCACAGCAGCTTCTTTCCCAGTGTCCAGAGGTGGGACGCAGAAAACCAACACAACCAAGGAGGTGTGGACGACAAACAGGGAGACACCCACACATCCCAGGGCTGAGAGGACCAGCTCTGCAGTGCATCCCTATCTGGGTGAACTGTGTCAACAGTCAGAGGAGATGAGATGGAGTGATTCCCTCAGATAATGACAAAACTATGTGAGGAACCACCCTAGCTAGAAACTGTGACTGAAGTCACCAGGAGACCCTTCAGGACAACCATTGCTGGCTGACTGGCTGCATGGGAAGGCAGCTGCTGCTCCCCTCGAGCGCTCCAGAGTCTGAAAACTGGATTTTCACCAGCTACACCTAACAAAACCAACCAGGCTTAAACAGAAAACCTTCAGAGAAGCTGGGAAATGTGCACAGGGAGAATTTTCCACCCTTCCTCATCTTCTGGTTGCAGTTAGGTCTGTGACACATCAACCAGGCAGGGTTAGAAGGTATAAGCCTTGCAGTTCAAGAGTACTGCTACAGGAACTTGTAAATCTTTTTATGTAAAACCTGAATGATTTTCTCAGTGGAATATACTTGACTTAAAGCCACCATCGAAAATATTTTATCTTGGGGTTATGACTCATGAAAGAATGGCTAGGTGTGAAAGGAAAGTTAATATATTATGTGAGAAAAACCCCCTCCCCAGCAACCTTATCAGATGACATGAGCTGAATATTTATGGCCTATGCAGTAAAACCAATAGACAGCAAAAGCCACAGCCTAATACTTTTGTGTCAGATCTGATGAAAATTCAGATACCTAGCTTATTTCCCCTTAAAGGCTGGAAATTATGGTTAACACACA